GGGGCAAGTAACCAATTTGAGAGAGACAGGAGATGATGGAGTTGTTTGGTTTAGTGTCTTAAGGGATGAGAAACAAGACAAGAAGATAGGTCTTGGGTCTGTTGTCGTGGCGAGGATGAAATGGGAAGAGGAAAGGTTCGGGTGGTTAAACAATGGCGAAAGAACTAACATTAAGAGATCAGAGAGATTCGAAGGCGGTTCATCGCATTGGAAGATGTATAGATGTTATGTGTTGGTAGAGAGCTTTGAATTGAAGAGAATGGATGGGAGTTTGGTGTTGACATATGAGTTTAGGCATGTTGATAAGTTAAAGAGCAAGTGGGATTGAGTTTTAATATATCTTTGTTGGTTTAATAATTTGGTGAAGAAGTTTTATGCAAGTTCATGTAATAATAAACTTAAGGTCTAATTTCATGTAAAACTCAATTTTTATGAATCTAAATTTGGTTGTTTGATTCTCCAAGAAGGGTTTGCTTCTTAGAAACTATAAAGGTTGTAACTTTATAACTCAAAAGTGGAGTCAAAGTCAAAGTGCTGGAGATTGAATGTTGAACAAAAAAAGAAATCATGTAATTGTAAAGACATGAGAAATTTTTGACTAATCTTCAAAATTTGTGAAGAGTTAGATGATCATCGTTTTAAGTAATCCACATTGACCAACCATAATTATAAAACCAATTTTTTTCTAATCATCATTCCAATAACTCTATTTTTATATCTAGGTTTAAATCAAATAAAATCTTCTTCGAAATTTGCTGAAAACAACGTGCTTAGGTTCTGCCATTCAAAAGTCTAAGATAAGTTTAGACATGTTTATAAGTTGAAGAGAAAGTGGTATTGAGCTAACCAATCTTTGTTGTCATGTGTGATTGTGTGAAACTTATAATTTACCAATTTTCGTTGAAATCTCTTACCAACTACATCAAAGATTGTGTCTTTTTGAAGTTAAAGATTATATAACTTTTGAATTCAAAGTGGATACGAAACCTAATTAACTAACAAATTAAGGCTGTGAGTGGGAGTATGGGACAAAAGCAGATAACTAGCAGAGCAGGGAAACAACATTATTTGTTACCATTCACAGAATTGTCAAATCAACAGCCATAAATAAATAAAAAATTCTCACGAACCACTTGCAGGACAAATTATGAAGATAACATTATCCCACTTGCAGATTTTCATCCACTTGTCTTGGAGAGTAATCGGCCCACTTGTGTTTGCAGATCTGCCTTTATTTTTTTTTTTTTTAAATTGTCACAAAAATTTGCTTATAAAATGACAGTTTTTTTCATACATACTTCAAACCAAATTTGCTTAGAGTCGAGAGCACTTTTTTTTTTTTGGTATAGTCGAGCATTTGAGAAATTTTCAGTTGAATACAAAAACCTCTTCTCTAAAGGTATGATCTTTAACTTTTTTTTCCCCTTCTTGTTCTGAGTTTGACAAAAAAAACACAAATTTTATGTATATTGTTTTTAAAGTATGTGTTAAAAATATGAAAAACTAAACAATATTTAGACTTAATGTAATTTTTTTAAAGTATGTATATTGTTTAATAATTTCTTAGTTAAGATTTTTATTCCAATTTTTTTTATTATTTTAATATATATTTTGTACTACTATTTATCTGCTTTCACCATTCAAACATATATTATGAACTGCATTATTTGTTAGATCTGCACTTCTCCAGCTTGATCTGCTAGATCTGCTTTTTTCCTACTTGATCTACTTAATCCGCTTGATCCGCTCTGCTTGATCTGCTTTCTCCATTCGGAGCCTAAATTTAAAAAAAAAAAAAAACCTAATGTGATGTGACTTAAAACGACTCGAAAAAGACTTCAATAAAAGCCAAGTCAAGAGCTTGGAAAAGTCTTAATTAGTCAGCCCCGCGTACAAATTTCTGTATTATTTTTTTTATTTCTTGGTATAATAAATAGATCCAATCACAAACTCTCCGAATCACAAAACTAAAAAAATCTCTAAATAATCATTCACCGTTTAAAAAACCAAAAATATGTATGTTACAAGGCGTTTATCGGAATACCAAAGAAACAGATCGGAACCGGCACCGGAAGGTCCAAACTCCGGCGTACTTATAATTCAAGATGAAGAATCAAAACCAACTTGTTGCTTCGGATCTTGCTACGAGCCTGGACTCAAAGGCTTACCTTTTCCACAGAACGCGAAGCTAACTGTGAATTACAGCATCACAGTTAATAACGTGACCATAGCTTATCGTGATCCGGTCGTTTTCATACCTGTTCTTGATCAACCCTTGTCTTCAAACCGTTACTACGCCATTAAACGAAGCGGGAAACACTCAGGGTATGTCTAAAATGTTGAACTTTTCGGGTTTTTTTTTATATCTAAACATGTTTTTGTTTGTCAAGATCTTTAACAAAATGGTCCAAATCATATGCCAAAGATTAAAAAGCCTGACTTGCGCAAAGGGTATGCTTAAAACCTAACTTTTGTTTTGTATTTTTGGATTTGTAGAGAGGCTTCGGCTAATGCGAAAGAAGAAGACAGAGTCCCCTGTTGCTTTTGTTTCAGTTATGTTCCTGAAGCTAAGCCACAACATGCAGATCCTTATGACATATATCAACAATTCGAGATCCATCAACCGAAATCATTGTCTCGAAATTACTATGCAACATCCGTTGCTCCTGATGGTGTACCACCAGAGTTTCTCAAGAGAAAGTATTGGACCGTTGAGTATTCGACATCCGAAGACTTTGGTTTGGCAGATGATGCAAAAGGGATTAACACTAAGCTTCGTTCCGAGTTTCCTAATGATCTGAGCACAAGCATTGTGGTAGGAAGATGGTATGTTCCTTTCATATTCGTGAATGAAAGAGATGCAAAGGATCAGCTTAAGAGCTCAACTTATTACAGCATGACTCTTCACCAAAGATGGGAAGAGGTTTACTCTTGCGAAAATGCTTACAACGAAAACCGCGAGGTTGAAGTTAATGTTGTAGTGGAAACAGAAGTTGTGAAGCTTGAGGGACAAGAGATTGGAAAGAAGACAAGAAGTGAGGATGAAAATGGGGTTGTTTGGTTTGAAGTTGCAGACAAGAGGCTAGGTTTGAGATCTGTGGTCACAGAGAGGATGAAATGGGAAGAGGAGAGATTCGGGTGGAAGAACGATTCGCATAGAGCGATTGTTAAAAAATCTGAGAGATTCAGTGGAGGCGGTTCGAATTGGAAGAGTTACAGATGTTATGTCTTGGTGGAGAGCTTTGTGTTGCAGAGAATGGATGAGAGTTTAGTGTTGACAAATGAGTTTAAGCATGTGGATAAGTTGAGGAGCAAGTGGGAATCATGAGAGATTCTTGTGTTTAATTAAAAAGCTTTCTTGTGTGTTTTGTAATGCCTTTATCATCATTTTCATTTGTAAAAGCTATTAAAAGTTATTGACAAAAAAATAGCTGATAAAAAAGTTTGGAGTTTGGTTCATTGTTGAACCAAGATAAGAGATAATTAAAAAAAAAGGAAACCAGATTTACATATTTGCATTAAACTATGAAATCTATACAAAAATAAATCCATTTATAATGGGAGAAATCTCAAGCCTAAATTAGCAGAGAATCCAAACATAATGTTTTATTTTTATTTTATGTTAGGTGATTTAATTTGGCAAATAATATTATTATTATCTACAAACTTTGTATGTAATTTCGCATGATAAAAATACCCTATAGAACATGGAAGAGAGTTTTACCGAGAATTGTTTTTATCTAAATCAAGACCTTAAATTGTATTGAGAAAATGTAATTTGTGGGAAAATTATGGCAGATGAATGTAATTACTAACTTAATTATAACTCTACAATTCTAGCTAGCAAGTAGCAACCATGGTAATCTGCATATGAGAAGACAAAACAATAGTAGGAATGAGAATCCAACTATATAAAGTGTGTAGTCTGTAATGATTCTCGAGTTTTGTTTCGAAAGTCCCCCATAATAATCCTTTTTTTTTTTAACTACAACTTGGTTACATGATGATGATTTCTATGTGCTACGCTTAAGCAGCAGAAGCTTCAGGAGTGTCTTCCTTGCTAGGTGTGGAATCAGCCGCGAAAACATAAGTATATACGTTCCCACTCCTTCGGAAATTGTATTGCCTTTGCAAGTTCTGGACCTTCCGGCTATCCCCATTCAACCAAAGCAAAAGACAGGTTTATCATGCCATATAAGATAAGTCAGTCCTGATTAGAAAGTGCTAAATGCGCATTTCTTCTCGCTTCGACCATGAGAGTGGCACAAGCCTTAGAGAAACTAAAGACAAGATGACCATACGTTAAACTATCGTATGTTTACATAAAGAGCTACAATCGTTTTATTGTGTCTGTTTTAGAAGTGATCGGGCATGTTTGGGTTTGAATTTTTTTTTTTTTTTATTCCGTTATATTGATTATAGTAAAATTATAACTTCTAACTGTCGCTAAGTTTTTGCCTTCTCTGGCGAAGGTAAGAAATATGATATTTTCTAAGAAGCTGCTTGATTTTTTGTTACCTTAAGTGGACATTAACTTTGGAACTTTTAATGATACTCTAGGTAAGTAACTTCTTTAAAAAAACATGGATTTTGGAATTTATACAAGTAAATCATCATCATGTAACCAAGTTGTAGTTAAAAAAAAGGTATTATTACATTCAAATACTCATCTTCTCGACCAAATAAGAAGAGTTGGTCGACTGAAGATGTCTAAACTTTGCTGCCACTTAAGATCCGTAGACGCAACTTTCCACTCTTTCTCCACTGAATAACAATATTTCGGGACCAATTGCAAGTGTGTCGATCATATGCGTTGAGTTCCTTTCTCTTGGAAACTGGGTGTATATCCAAAAAGAGATTAATTATATATTTGGATTAGTAGAGAATTGATGGTTAAGATTACAGTACAATAAGTAGAGACTTTTCTTGTATTGAGGTTCACTTACGATGGTCGATCGTATATACCAACAACTGTTCCGTTTTGGTAACAGCTGAATATAATCAGATTTGCCTCATGTCGTGTAATCCACAAAGAGCATGCGTACTCTGTTTCAAACCATAAACACAATAAGAATGCTATTTTGTACAACACCAGAGCTAAACAGGCTAGAGAGAAAAGAAAAACAAATTTAAGAGTTTTTTTTCCCCACAAGAGCATCCGTAAAAAGCATAGTTAAAGCTATTGAAGACTTGAAGAAGACTAAAAGAGTATGTGAGCTCGTTAATACCATTACCAGCCATCTCCAAACCTGTCTGGACCTCTCCTTTTAAAATCCAGCATCTTTGATAGTTATGACCACATGTCTCCACCTATAAATCCAATAACCCAGATGAAAAATGCTTCAAATCCAATAATATATTTAATAGTCTCCACCTAAAAAATCAAGCTATACATATGGACACTCTAAATGGAGAGAAAACTCTCTAATTATATAATAGATATTTCTCTTGAAATGGAATATGAATCTAAAAACTATATGCCAAGATTAAATTGGATGACATATTGTTCCTTTCTCGTCACATTTCTCTAACATAGATAAACATATAAATAATATGTTGGCCGATTGTTTTATTTTGTTAAGAGAGTAACAGATTTATTAACATTTGTGCCTTTCCGATTCAATTGAGGTGTCTCTTTTTTCCCTTCAAGGATGATAATTTTTCCTATTTCTTGGATTTTGGTATCATCAA